TTATTGATTTAATTCTCAGACTTTGATGAAGGCATTATAGTTTATTGGGTTGAGAGATTATAAAATCGAATAGTTTTAAATCAAGATTTATTGATTAAATAGCAGTTAATTTTAAAGTTCTTGATTTGATAGAGATTAATTTTAAATTCAATGTGATTTAGAGCTTTTCTAGGTATACACATAAAAACAAAATTCAATGATCGAATGGCAGATAAAGACAAGGTTAAAAACTGTGAATCATGTGTCTTTTTGACGCGCACAGGACTTGGCGCGTGAAGTAATTTTTTTTCTTTTTCCTGATGTCGTGGATTAGTCGAGGCAAAAGAAAACTCAAAAGAAAAAACATATTAATTAAAGAAGCTTGACCAGGTTTAATGACTGTCGGAAGCCTCGTTTATAATAATGTTCAGAATTACTTATAAACACATACACACAAACTAAACAAAATTCCTCTCATATATTACTATCATATTTTGTAAAGCATGATTAAAAAACTGTTTATAAATCATTCTAACCAGACCTAGGATGTATTACTTTGATCTCACCACCAAACCTCGTTAATAAGATACGGCAGGCCAAGTTAGCTAGCTTTCCAGGATTTTTTTCTTAACCAGATTAAGGGTGTTGGATGAAACCAAACCGTGGTTTGGAAAAGTGATTCTGGAGAATAGATTTTGGCTCTGTTTGGGTGTTCCAAAACCGTGGTTTCAGAAGCACTTTTCCGCAAAACGAGGTAACCTCCTCCACATATTTACTTCGTAATCCGTAAAAGCACTTCTGAAACCATGGTTTTGTTTTTATCCAAACACTCCCTTTGTGAAGAATAGATTTTGTAAAAAAGTGATTCTGAGAAGTGAGAGTTTTGGATAGTTGTTATCAGAAGCACTTTTTATATATACAAATTACTAAAAAAAAGACATAAGTTAATATGATAATTACAGAAAAAATATATTTTATGATATATTTTAATTTGAAGGAATAAAATTGTTAATAATATATTTTTTACCAATATAATTAATAATACATAAGATAATATAATTAATAAATAATTAATGTGTATATATATTTATAAAATATAAGATTAATTATGTTTATCAAAAAATATGTTATAAAAAAAATAACAGATACATATCATATAGGCTCTCATACTCTCTCTTTTTTCTTCAAAAGCAAAAAATTTTGCTTTTTACAAACCATGGTTTTGGTTTTTAGAGGGGGTGTTTGGGGTGTCACCCAAACACACCCTAAGTGATTTGGGTTGATTGAGCGCAGAAGTGTCAGTCTGGGATGCTCTCAAAAGTGAAAACGCTATTAATTATAAGGACTTGGGCAGCATTTGGAGTGGGGAAAACCACCTGGTATTCTAAAACTGCGGGATGATGATCTCGTCCTTATCGAAAGTGTCGGTTTTGACTTCCTTAGTTAAATGCTGATAGCTTTCATATGGTTGATCGTATGACAGCTTGCCCCTGTATGTTGGTTTAACCCTTTAATTATTACTCCTCTGTTGTTTATTATAAGAGATATTTGATGTTTATAGTATGTTTTTATATATAAGAGATATTTAAAAATTATCTCTATTTTTTTGTATTAATTTCTTATTTTACTCTTATTTATTTTGTTTCCAATTCATACTTTCTCTCCCTTCTACTTCTCTTTTTTTTAATAATTTAATTGTTCTCTCTCATACTCTCTCTTCTTATTAACGGGAGTATCGTTGGAAAAAACATTACTCCCTCCATTCCTTATTATAAGAGACATTTGATGCTTATGACATGTTTCCATATATAAGATACACTTAAAAGTTGTCTCTATTCTTTTGTATTGATTTCCTTGTTTACCCCTATTTATTTTGTCTCCAACTCATACTCTCTCTCCCCCTATTTCTCTTTCTTTTAATAATTTAATTGTTCTTTTTCATGCTCTCTCTCCTTATTAATGAGGGCATTGTTGAAAAAAACATTATATTTTTTACATATTAATTATCCTTAAATAATTTTAACTGCTTTTTTAATCAATATAATTTGGTTATTTGTCTCTTATAATAAAAAATGGAGAGAGTAGTATATGGTTGGGGGAAAGAAGTGTTAGTATTTGGTATATATACATATAAAAGCATTAAATATTCAAAACAAAGGCTTTTGACGTCTAAAAAGTCTTTTCCGGTGAATCATGAAAGCAGATGTTGTTCAGATATTTGTTACGCTCATCTAAAAGTTTACTTAAATTTAAAATTTATCTGAAAATCTGAAAAAAATTTGGGGGGGGGGAGGGGAAGCTTTCCATTAAAATTTTTATTAAAAAATTTGACCTAGACAATTTACAGCTGCGGCATAAAAAAATTTAAAAAAAAAATACTTGATAAAATATTTTAACAAAAGTTATTAAAGTATTAAATCCAGACCGTTTACTTTTGGATCTTGATGATGGGGATGGAATATAACGACAAAGTGGGATGCCATCTGGACTCCCCAACTTTAATGAGACGTGTCCCTATATGGATAGAGTGGGGCAGTTCCAACCCATCACACTAGCGGCCCGTTTGGTTCAAAGAATTGATTAAAATAAAAATAAATAAATAAATTGAAAAAGGAGAGTGAAAAATTTTCATCCGACTGAATATTCAGTCCACACTAAAATTAAAAATCAGTTCAATAAAAAATTTATATTCGGTTAGATGAAAAGAAGTGAAAAAATTAAACTATTTTACCATATTACCTTGATGAAAGAATATAATATTATTAAATAAAAAATAATATATTTAAAAATTCAATTAATTATAATTTAAATAAATTGATCAATATGAATATTTAATATAAATAAAAAATTTACTGTACATATTAAATGATTACAAAATAGATAAAAATTAAATAACAAAGTAAAAATAAAATATATTAAAAAAACTCAATTCAAAAATAAAAAATAATATAAATATTCTCAGAAAAAAGGCAAGAAAATTCGAATTTGGTCCATCAATTTCAAATTTGTTCCACCAAAAATCAAATTTCTTGTACTATATTCCCAACTCTCACACGAAATTCCAGTTCTACTATACTCTGTCGTACTCTATTTGTCTTTGATATATTTATATATGGATATAGTCATTACAGCCGCAATCATGGCTAAACAGACAAACCGAATCAAACAATAATTAAATGTGTGGGGAACAAAACAAAGGGCTGTGATGGATCGGGTTCAATGTTTTTTGCACGGATCTAATCATTTATCACTCACTAAGGAAGGATTAATTTACAACGCAAATATGTATATATAAAAAAAGAGTAAAATTTATATACATGATGCTGTGCATTCCCTTATCTTCTTTACTTTTGATTTCCCATACAATATATGCTCAGGTTAAAATTCGAATTTGACGTTGCCGGTTAATGATAATATCGAAGGAACCCGTATGTGTGTGCATGAATATTGTCATTATATCTGCATGTATATAGTAATTGTTCATTGTCTCGAAAGGCCACACTCGCAAAAAAGTTGATGTGGCGCTCAAGCTTCACCTTGCGCTTGAGAAAGTCATCGGTAAGTGTTCCATGATCCTTTTCGGCCAGCCACCAGACATATTTGATAATCGAGTTTTCATGGGCAAATGGGTCAATCTGCTTTTAGCATGGGAGGGCTGAAGATTTGTGCCAACTGCCAACCACTTTTGGTGGAGACAGTTATTGAGCTACTATTTAAAAAGAACTCAGGCCTTGTATTTAATTTCTTTCCTATCTCTTTTGCCGATGAAAAATCCCTTCCATTGCAAGCCTCTTTTTTTTTTTTTGAACCAGACAGAGCATAAATGAGCAACGGTTTGTTTATCCTCCCCCCTTGCATTAATTCTCGATAGGTTATCGTCACACTAAACGAGCAACTGTTTCACCATCCTCCCTCCCATGCATTAACTCTCGACAGGTTATCGCCACCCTCGAAATTTTGTTTTTGACACGCGTCACCCTCGACCTCTAGCCTTTCCTTACAAATATTAACCACTACTCTAACCTATTCACAACATAGGGATAATATTTTTTATTTATTTGAGGGTACAACCATTTATTATTCATGGTAACAAACCAAGAAGTTATCATACTTTAAAACAGTATTAAAAGAATTGAAGGTTTTACTCATTTTCGGTAAAATACGCAATAAATGCCTCGTAAATAAAATTAGATAATCCTCTAATCCTATTTATAAGGTACTTCCAGCATGTTTCACACAAACCAAAGGTTTAAATTTCATTAACTCTCATTTAAAATTTAATGATTTTTCAACTTTATCTCTATTTAATATGCGTTATACTTCATATAAACAAAGTCAACATAATAATAAATGAGGGATAAAATTTTACATCTATATAAAAAATTTCTCTCAGTGCCTTATAAATAAGACCAAAAAATACATTCTATCTCTACCCTATAAATAGGACTAGAAGAGTATTAATCAGGCTGGTTAATGCTAATACCATGTGTTCTTTTATTTAACAGCGGGGTAATTACAAAAAAAAAAAGACTATTGGATATAAGCACCTCACCCTTGCAGAGTTCAGCGGGTGGACTTCTTTTTTTGGCTAAAGTATAGGTATCTTTCTATTGGAAGTAATCCTATTCGAGACACTGTCGGGTACTAAATGTGGATATCTCTTTTAATAGGGATTCAAATATTAATTCGTACGTTGTGAGGAATTAGTCTTTTTTATTAAACCCAAGACCTTTTGGTCTGGTGGACTTCTTGATAAAGGCATGGTCTGTATTATCGGAGTCGTGCAATTGTGACTCGCAGCTGAGTGCTATAAATCGGCCCCGAGCCATCAAAATGGCCAGCTAAGCAAACGATTGAAAAATCAAGAAATTTTGACAAAAAGGCCCATGTTAACATTCCCTGGTCTGGCAAGTTTTTAGGCAATTTAAAAAAGGCCTTGAAATTTCGATGGGCCGAATATGGATCTTAATGTCAGGCCCGTATCTCGTAGGTTTTTCATATACACAAAAACCCTAGGTGAGCCATTTGCCTATCCCGCCTTGGCTGGTTTTGCAACTGTGATTGTTCTCTGTTTTCCTCCGAGCGCTGCTCAACGTCTCTGAGGCAGCCACCATGGGACGCGTCCGCACCAAGACTGTCAAGAAGTCTTCACGGCAGGTCATCGAGAAGTACTACTCTCGAATGACGTTGGACTTCCACACCAATAAGAAGATTCTTGAGGAGGTTGCTCTCATTCCCTCCAAGAGACTCCGCAACAAGATTGCTGGATTCTCGACCCATCTCATGAAGAGGATCCAGAAGGGACCCGTTCGTGGAATTTCTCTCAAGCTTCAGGAGGAGGAGCGTGAGCGTCGCATGGATTTCGTCCCTGACGTCTCCGCCATTAAGACCGATCAGATCGAGGTCGATAAGGAGACTCTAGACATGCTCAGTGCTCTTGGTATGAATGATATTCCGGGGCTCGTCCAAGTTGAGCCCGTCCCTGTGCAGCAAACGTTGGGTTTCGGTCGTGGTTTTGGCGGACCTAGGAGGTATTAGGTTTTGGTCTTCGTCTTCGTGGTTTTCAGATTTGAGCCGATCGTTAGTGGCTTATATTTACGTAATTGAAGTTTTACTAGCCATCAATGATTGAATTTGAACTTCTGTGTTAGATCACATATTATGGTTTACTCTGCAATTCACCTGACACTCCTCAAACATTAGTTAATGGAATAGATTTTGTCTACTAGGTGTGGCATACTAATATGATTCTAAATTGATATTACCGCCTGCTTATAAGCTTTCTTTTTATGTTGTTTCGAACTGTTTTTTAATGCTATGTGTGCTGTACTGTTTCGAACGGAATCGTATGGTGAGGAGTGAAATCGGGAGTCATGCGTCATTGTCTTTAGAATTTACAAGTAACAACTTCTTAAGAGGTCTTTAGGTAAGAGTAAAATCATGATTTCAAAAGTGTTTTTACGGTATACGAAGTAAACATGTGGAGGAGTTTGTCTCATTTGCAGAATAATATTTCTGAGAAGCATTTCTAGGGTTAGCCAAACACCCCTTTAATGGAATAGAAGATTATAAATCTTATCTTTTAAGCATTAGTTATAATTGAAGCTTGACTGTGTTAAGTTCTTAGCGGAGGATGATATGATTGGTTGTCAAAAAAAATGGATGATGTGATTGTGATTTTATCACTTATTTCATTTTCACTGTCTTTAATTCTCCGATTTAGGATCATATAAAACTGCTGTTTGGGGTGGTAATGAGGGTTTTGTGGGTGGTCTCTTATCAATTCAATTGCGTCTTAATAAAATCTCCTTGATAGTCACTCGAACTATTTTAGCCATTCTGTTTCATTTTTTGCTAATTATCCAAATCCGTCCAAACACGTAGGCTAAACAAAGGCTTGTTTTAAAGCTGTGCTTTCTGTTGGGTTTTGTTGTGAAGGTCACGGGATTAAAATCCAATCCCGTAATGGGGGTTAAGGGTTCACTTGGAAAACTTATAAGTAGTACTTCATCTGGGTTTATGTAAAAGTGCTTATATTGACTTAAAATAAACAATTGCAAATAAGCTCAAGTGTTTATTAGGATTACAGTCCCCAAATCTTAATAAAAGACCCTCTTGGCCCAATTCTAGAGACATAAGATCTTTTTTCAAACTTGCTGCCATTTTTTCTAGTTAAGAAATAGATAAATAGACACCTTTTATTGTATAGATGGGGGGGGGTGCTCGGGAGCACTTGTAACAATGGGGATCAAAGACTAAGAAGTGAGTTATTCATCAATCAAATATATGCTGGTAAAAAAAAAAATCAGTCAAACATAATTCATGATTGGATAATTTTTTAAAAAAATTAGATTGATAATTAAAACTTGTTCCAGTTTAAATGTGTAATGACCTAAAAAAACATGAATTTTATGACCTCTTTTAGAAATAAAAATATTGAAATTTTTTGAAAAAAAGATTCAAAATATTATCGAAAATAATTAGTTGTAATTACTAAAAAAGATGTCAGATTTATATATATTGCATATTTTATATAAATAGATCCATACAGTATGGCAACACAATTTTCATCTTCCAATTTTATGTGGAAAGTGGAAATTGTGAATTAGCGCAAATTGATGTCTCATTGTTCGGTTTGTTTTACACTTTTTTATTCTTATTATACATACATACATACATATATGAAAGTTTGAAACAAACTGAAATCCAGATATTGACGGATAAGATTATACATCAAGGTAAGATTTAAAGGATTAAGTGCATATTTCACTTTATCTCAATTATCAATTTTCACATAAAGATTATACAGCAAGAAGCTCAAGCTTTTGAGGACTGCAGCTTTTCGACCACCTTAGAATTAAAAATTTCAAAGCACTCACTGCTCAAGAACTGCTATTGAACTTTCATCATCCAACAGTCAAGAACTCCGAGGTCTACAGCTGACGCATAAAGCAGAAAACAAATGGCAATATTCACGTGCGCCAGCTTTTCAAGAAAGCAACCCAGGAGTTCATTGCTAATTCGCTACTTATTGATAGAGGTTTGACAAAGCACAAAGCTATTCATCCGAAGGCCAAGCCAAGAGATAAAGGGAATGGATTTGAGAATGCAAGGTCTACTTCATTCACTGGAATTCGCAAGGCCTACCATTTTGAGCATATTTCGATCTTCCTTGTACCTCTCAAGTACAGTACCCTTCACGGCTTCATCCCTGCCCTGAATTCCTGCTTGGGCTGCAGTAGTCACTCCCCAGCACTCAATTACTTCAGGGGATATACGGCTAGTCTTGGAGAGGCAAGGACTCCCAAATGTGGAACATGAAAACGTATGCCCCTGATCAAAATTTGCCGACAGAAATAAACCAAAGTGATTAACCCGTCCACCAAACCCAATACCATTTGGGATATCCTCTGAAGTGAAGTTCACAGCACACTACAATATAAAAACAGAGAGTGAATATGAGATCATTGTCATTCTCCCTCTCTGCAAACTAGAGTTACATCACAGATATCATAAAATTATCTAAATCCTCTAGAACTTCACACATCTAACGCCAAAAAAAAAAAAGATAGTTACCCATTGCAGATTATGGTTTGCTCCAGTAGGTCTACATATAGATGCCTTTGGATTTAACTGAAAGAGGAAAGATTTCATGTCTCCATAAAATTCTGCATGCCGTTCCCATGGTTGGGAAGCATATCCTCCATAAATATAACCTTCTTCATCCTTGATAATCAACACGGTAGGGCCTTCATGATTTCTGCAGTTAAATTTCAGAGTTAAGCTCCAATCCTGCCTAGACTAGTTGGAATATATAAATTTAACTGTCATTTAGCTTCAAGCAAATAGGAGGTCTCTGTCATTCAGGTCACCATGGCTTTATTCCCCATAGTGCGTAGAGTTACTGTTGTGTCATGTATTGGTTTCCCTCCAGTTCCAGACTGTATTCCTGTGGTTAATAATTCACACAATTTCGTTGCAAACCCATCATCTTGAAAAGTAAAGTGCCATTTTCTTTTACTACATAGCAACATAAGAATTTTACATTACTCCTCAATAAAGCCTAAAGGCGAGATAATATACGTACGAAATGTTGCCCAGGAATGTGTTAAAACTAAGACCATTCAAAGCACTATGATACAGAAGCTTCCATGCTTCCCCTTCTTGCTGAGAAAGTGCTCCTCCAATAAGCCATGCATACTCCTTTCTCAAGAGGAAAATGTCAGACTCAATACCATCTGAATGCAATAGACGAGGAACTTGACAACCCGGTCTCCCTAAAGAAGAAAAAGGAAAAAAAATAAGAATAATAATATATGTCTATAGCATTTCCCTAGTTTTTCATCTAGAATATGGTAAAATGATACCAATATTATCATTGAATAAGTACAAAGTACCTGAATCAGGTGGCATCAGCAAGCCTCCAAGAAGCTTTCTCACAGATGGGAGATGAGTACACCAACTTTTGAAATCTTGGAAAGACATAACCTCCTCAGTGCATCCTTCTTCATGCTTCGAGAAAGTTGCAGTATTCAAAAACACGTTGACAACGTCCTGATGGGAACTTGACTTGACTTCAGAATCTTTAATGCTCAATAGGTTGTTAAAAATTGCTATTAGAACAGATTCCAAATCAGACCTGCATGCTTAAATGTCATATGCATCAAAACAAACGAAAAGGGTAATAAAGAAATCAAGAGAAAAAAGCAAGCAGGGGAGCAATTCCAAGACAGCATTGGATATGATCAATATTGATAGAAAGATTTCATTCCAACATTTAAAAACTTGCCGTCCTTCAATATAATCTATGTCCTAGAATATCAAGACGGGTACTGATGTCAATGAATCACAACTCTCAAGTCAGGTTATAGATTGAAACCAAAGGAATGAAAATTCCCAATTCAATATGCAACTACAGATGATACCCCAGACCTTACGAGTGCTAGTGACTGGAATTAATTTCCCATAAAGAATAAGCTACAGGAGATTATAAATAAATAGCCACACACAATTAGTCTTGGCGAGTTGGCTTCATTGCTTAGTTACTCTGGACAAAATGTGGCATTGTATGATCATACTTGCATCAAAGGGTTGAGAACAAGGGGTTGCGAGTGAGTATCGCCCTACCTCCCTAGAATATTATCTCCAGATACATCTAGTAAGCGAAAGATGAATTCATCAATTTCATCTTTTGTTCCTTTCTCATAAGCAGCCTGCAACACGAAAAATGAAACAAAACATGGGATATGACGCAATTATAACAGCAAAAATTATGATTATTGCCATTATAACATCAAAAGGTGATGATTTTTGCCCCCAAGAACTTACTTTAGCGATAATGAGATCTTCGAAGGCTAATTTTTTATCCCCTCGCTGCTGAGTAACCAAATCGAAGATTCTCTCCCCAAGAGGGCCATCGAGTCCAAAATATGACTGTAACAGAAAATCGAATTTTCTGGGGTCGAAAGGGCAACGCTTGATTGATGATCAAGATAAGTATTTATCGCGGGGCACGAAACTGAACCTGAAAGACGGAGGGAGAGACGTAGTTGCCGTTGCTCTGCGACTGAACTGCCAAAGACTTGAACAGAGTCCTTAAATCTTCAAGTTCCTTTTGAGTGAAAGCTCTGAAATAGTTTCCTCAAAATAAAGTAAGCAAAGCTGTTTATCTGAGAAATTCGAGAGTTGTGTAGAAAGAAGGAGAGAGAAACCTGGATGCGGAAGCATATCGAGGATCAGAGGGAGGTGACTGAGAGTTGCCCATGGATTGCTTCGCCTCGAATGCCTTGCTCCCCTGACTCTCCCAAGACCTCGGGGGAGAATTTCTGATTTCTGCAAGTTTCGGTAATCTGCCCTTCGTTTTCGTGGTATTTACCCATAGCCCCCCGAGTTTCTAAATAAGTACTCCTCCGGTCCTTAATATAGGACCCAATTGCTAAGTTGGTTTTGGTCCTAAATATAAGACCCATTTCTCATATTTATCAATTTTCTCTAAATTACCCCTATAGATACTCCATCAACCATAATCAAGTAGAAGTTAGAGAGGGGTATTAAGAAAGATGATTATGGTATTTTAGGAAAAACATGTCACAATTTTTATAATTAACTAACTTACCTAACTTCCTTAATCTAATCAAATTAGTTAAATGGGTCCTATATTAAGGACCGGAGGAGTATTACTCTAATAATTTAAAAATTTAAAAAAAAAACAAACGAAAATTATCGTCAAAAATCTAAGCGGAAACAAAAAGGGCAGGAAGCCGAGGAGATAAAATCCTGAAACATCGTGCTATTGTTTTCCTCAGCTTCCCAGAACAAATTATTCGGTGCCCAAATCTTGCCTATCTATGCGAATTCAGAATCGTTGCGCTTCTCATTACTCGTCAATCCTCAACGGCCTTCCAAAACAGAACACTCAAAAAATTCGTATCAAACCCAAATTTTTATCATTTTATTATCTTCATGTGATTTTGGAATACAACTGCGGATTCTTATTCTGCTGTGTAGCACAGGCCCTGCAAAAGTGCGTAGGAAAAAATGCGTCCAGTTTACTGAGCTTTTTCTTTTTCTGCCTACTCACTGCACTTGGAGCTTTGTGTTTGTGGTATTATTATGCCATGTCCATTATCTTTTTAGCAGTTTGCCTATCTTGAGATCCTGATCGTCCTCGCTTCTTAGGCATTACAAATTTCTTCTTCCTTTGAAGGTGCGGACCGATAATTAGATTATATATGTTCCATCTCATGCTGTAGTACTTCTTTTAAATCAAGCTTGTTAAGGTCATCTAATTACTGTGCAATTCATTCTCTACCAAAAGAATACTAATCGTAGACTTAATCAGTGATTTAGATCAGGGCCTTTAAGAAGAGGTGCAACATTAGATGCTGTAGTTTTCAACTTGTTTGTTAGTACGAACCCTAAACTTTAAGCCTTGGAATAAATTGCTGCCTAATGGATGGAGAAGAGCAATTATGTCAGTGGTTAGCAGTTAGTTAGCAGAGTCTTTTAAGGATAAACAAAAGCATGTGAGGGTGCAACCCTTAATTAAGCGCCTTCAAGTGAAGTGCAGTACGTCTGATGGAAAGCTCCTTCATTTCTGAAGGACTGAAATTCCTCTTCAATACGAATTGATTGTCATTAATGGCGTTCCCGCCTTTTGCCTCCAAGATTCAACCATAAGCAATTGACTGATCCCGCAATGAACAAATCATAACAAGTGTGGGGTTTTTAGGGCTTCTATAGTTCACAGGACATGAGATATTTTTCTGTGTCGTCCATGGTACTATACTGTTAGTCAATGCATCATCAATGTATGTAATCAAAGTTAGATCGAAACAGGTTTACCGAAAAATTTAGATCGACACTGATACTTCCTGCTGCATCCCCATTTTATTTCTCGGGGGGCCACCTTTTATTCCGATATTAACCCTCGGCTCTATATGTCCTCTGATGCTTAACTGGGCCACATGGAAAACTGATGGTCCCCATACATACGGTCATACTACTGGGTTTTTATCCGGCTTTGACCAGGTTTTTTTAATTTGCAGGGCATTGTCACATCAACATTGATAAAACTTATTAATACTACCTTCGACTCTAATTATAAAACCTCGTTTTTCACTGGCGTGATGAACCGGAGGTAGTAAAATTTATGACAAGTCACTAGTATGAATTTAGCAGAATAAACTAATTATGGACTAAGATTTGAATAACATTCTTTCAGAAGAAAAAAAAAGAAAAGAGAACTTAAAACAAATTCACAGAGAACAAACTATGTTGTTCAACTAACCTTTAATTAGTATTTTATCATTATAGATGCCTGATTTTATATACTTCAAATAATAATACACATGTTTTTATAAAAACCAAAGCTTAATGACATAAAAGCAAAGTACATGACATAAAGTTAAAGTAAGATAAACATACTTTTATACATAACACTTTACTTTTACAAAAGCTAAAGACACATAACACACTGGGACAGGCATTTTTTTGGTAAAGACGTCTGAGTGAAATCTAAAGTGTCAGCAGTTTAGAGTGTTGGTTGGCTACATTATAGCAATAGAGGGTAAAGATTGTTGCACCTAAGAAGAAACAGGTGGAATAATTGGATCAGGTCGTTTTCTGAGGGGAAGTTCTTCATGTTCTGTTACTTGAATAATCTCACATAGAGACATACCCCAAGGAAGACTTAACAGGTTCAGGAATATTTCTCCGTTGTTTTGATCTGCCCAATTGTTTAGATCTATGGTCATCATCATGATTTTTGAAAGGTTTCTTACGAGAGCAAGAAGAACTTTTCTTTGAAGATCTTCTTAAACCTCTCCGTAAAGGATAATACCAGTCACTATCATCTAAAAGAGTCTCAGAATCCAGAGAAGTTATATGAGCCGGATCAGAAAGCTTCCATGCGATTCATCTGGTGAACTAAACTGTAACGGAATTTACATGATCTGCATATATTATAAAATACTACACGTTAATATGATTTGTAGAACTACATGTGATGCTCACAAAACGCCGTTAATTCAGTGTACTAAACAGTGGGGAGCGACATCAAATGAGCAATTAATTAATTATGGGGTCTAAGTAGATTATACTAGTACCATACCAGTATGTACCATATGGAGTGTCACGTGAAAGGTGGATCTTGGGATCAGCCAAATCTCTCGGTTCTTACAGTGGTTATTGAAAGCATTGAAGGATCACTCGTTGAATACTGCAACTTGGTTTTATAATATAGTGATTGCTTTAATTCAACAAACCATCGCATTAAAGTCCAATTTAATTTCTGTGGCCTCAGTTATTACGATCCCCATCAGACCAGACCCCCAAAATAAAAATAAAAAACTCAGAATAACTGTGGATGGTTATGGCGTGTTAATGGTAAATCCGATACTTGGTGAGTTTGGTCTGCACATAAAAATAGATCCGCTGATGGCGTAGAACTGCTTCACTCAGAGCAATTAATAGAGTATACTACTGGGATAATTTATGGCCTTGGATCTGTTTGATTAATTTTTTACAATACCTATGCGTAGTTGCTGCAGCATTCAGTGCACACTGGTTTAAACTTCCAGTCTTTCTGAATTTTCTTAACAAATCAAAAACCAATGAGCAAAATAGTAGCACAATTAAGGTCTGAATCTGGGCTTTGTATGTTAGCGAGGAACGGAAGATGATGTTCTTCGGAATTACATAGAAGTAGCATGTATGTGCAGCAGCAATGAAAAAGAATAATGAATTTAGTTTTGAATTTGCAGGTAGCCACCAAATAGTTGAGTCTCATTAAGATCTATCATTAAGTAAGGTGAGTTGCGCATAGATGATTTTGCAGTGTGTATTGATCTCTTGAAATAATTAAACTCCCTTTCGTGGCACCCCCCCAATTCTCCATCTACCAACTCTATCACAACAAAATTTAAACAATCTCTTCGACCTCCACGTCATGTATAATTGTTAATTAGGAAACTTAGATACAAATCCCAAGTAAAAAAATTAATTACTCATTGATCTCAGCCACTTATAAATAGGGACAGACCCATGTATAAGAGATTGGAGACAATTGTTCCCACGAGGCAAAAAGTTTCCATATAGAAAATACATGGGTTAATATAATACTCTTCCAGTCTTTAATATAGGACCCAATTATTGAGTTGATTTTGATCCTAAATATAAGAACCATTTTTCATATTTATCAATTTTTTCTAAATTACCCCTATGAATACTGTCTCAACCATAATCAAGTAGAAGAGAAAGAGGGGATATTAAGAAAGATGATTATGGTATTTTAGGAAAAATGTGTCACATTTCTTATAATTAACTAACTTACCTAACTTCCTTAATCTAATCAAATTAGTTAAATGGGTCTTATATTAAGGATTGGAGGATATTTGGTTCCTCAAATTTGTCCTTATTCAAGTTTTGTTACCTCAAGTTTCAAACAATAGATTTTGATTTTTCAAAGAGCAAAATGGTTTAAATTTTTATTGAATTATAAGGATTAATGTTTTAAACGAAAATAAACTTGAGGGATCAAAACTAAAATAAAAACAAATTTAAAGAACCAAAACTTGTATTAACTCAAAACTATGGCTACTAGTTAGGGATCTAGAAAATTCCAGTTCCCCCCAATCCAAAAGGAAAACAATCACTTGCATCCTGTAATTTGATAAAATATTTTTTTTTTGAAATTTAATATTTACGTTAAATTAATTAAAATTTTGCTCCCACTAATTAATATTCACGTGTGTCTATGGACCAGAAAGAAATGATCTTAGTAACAGTATGTTTTATAAATCTAGCAGAACACATGTATAATTCATTAACGGAAACATGTTTGAAAGTAGATATTTGAGGAAGAAATTCAAAGAGATGTGCGTGTTTTGTCTTCTACCCACAATCTATTAACTCTGGATCCTGGTGCCTAAAGCCTTAATCCCTAACAAGTAACAACGTTGTACACAAAATTCAAATACTCCTACAAAAGGTCACGGGTCATGGCTGCAAAGTGATGTGTTATTAATTACGACTATCGCATGATTTGTTTTATTTTTTTTAATGGGAGTACTTTATCCGTTTATCGCATTATTACTCCATTGTGCCAATCCAACAATACATAATAAATGAATCGCTGCATAATTTGTTGTGCACCTACGTATATAATTAAATCTACCATATCATATCCCCTCTAGCATATATCTCATTAATGGATCTCTTATCTTCAACTTCTTTGTGCTCTGGTAATGTTCACCATCCAAATACAAACCCACCTACTGGAAGCTTCTGGTTTTTTCTCTTCTTTTTCCCCAAGGAAAGGGGTGACTGGTGAGGTGAAATATTCATCGATTTCCATCAATTTTTGTTTTGTGGGGAATGAAT